GGCAGCGCGGGGCGGCTGCCCCCTGGCGGGCTGGAGGCGCTCGGAGGCTGTTGGGGAAGGAAGAAACGCATGGGGAGAAGGAGGGGCCTGACCTCCAAGCTAGGAGGCAGGAAGCAGCCCCCACCAGCCGGTCGAGGGGCGAGTTGGGAATGATGCCCCTGCCCCCTCCCCGGCTGGATTTTAATTTATCTGGGGGTTGGGGCGATAGAAGTGCTACCGTTTTGAAGCAAGAGACATCGGAGCTGTCTCCACACCCAGGCTGGGAGATTTAGCCTTTTGCAGTCATTATTTTTCCTCTCCTACCCCGAAAATCTCCCTCCTTCCCTCACGGCTGTTGCAGGATGAGCTCCTTGCTGAGCTCTTGCCCCAAAGCAACCCCCAGTTCCTGGCACTTCTTGTATGTCCTGAAAGAGGAGATACCGGTGCTTGCAGTTGGATCCCTTAGGCAGTCACTGTACCTATGGCGGCAGAGTTCGTCAAAGCCCGTTATAAGATACAGGGACTCCTGCTTAACAGCACTGAACATGGCACTAAGAGGTGCTATCCTGCCTTGTCTTTCACCTGACTTTAAACTAACGTGGCTAATTAGCTGTCACCACTGAGCAAAAAGACCACCCATGGCTTTTGAACTTGCCCTGAATTTTACTAGGGGTACCTTTTTTATTCCTCCAATATTATTTGTTCTGCTCTTACTCCTGCTACTGCACTCACAGAACAGGGGAGGGGGGGACACGGACTCATCAATGCAGGGTAATGCCCCCACACTGCAGGGAGAAGGAAGAGTTTGAGGTCACCATCTAAGGAGAAAAAAGAAGAGACTAAGAAAGAGAAAAGATGAGAAAAGAGGGTTTACAGGAAGTTAGCTGCTAAGTGGGGGATACAAATGGACACTACTACTGATTCATGTATATTCCTCATTCACCACCAGCATTTAGCCTTGAAGTTACAAATAAGCACATAATCCTGTATTTATTATTTCAAGAATTTAATTGTCCCAAAGCCCCCAACTTTAGTTTACATCTTATCTTTACAAAAAATGATCCTGGATCCTGATTGCTTCAATCCAAGAAATGAAAGCAGAAGTCCTGGTAAAGACACTGGGTTTGTTCTCTGCTTTGCATCCAATAGGTCCAAAGCTAACTACACCATGCACTTCCCATTTTTCTCTTCCAATTTGGCAAACCAGTGGTCCACCTGAATCTCCCTGTAAGAAATAATCATTACATTAAGTTTGACATTGTAGATTATCAAACCAACAAGTGCTTCCTATAGTTTGACACACAACAATCATAATGTGTCACTGTTGTCTCACCAAGAATCATACCTGGGCGTGACACTACCCACACGCCCTCACCTGAATACTGGGATCCTGGGGTGCCCGGTAGCCAGTGGCCCTGCCCAGCTCCCTGGGTAGCTGCTGCAGGGTCCCCGAGCGGAGAGCCTCCCCTTACAATCAAACAACTTTGCACACCCTTATATAACTATTTATAGGATTTAATAATTTACAAGGTAACATATAAATTGATAACCAATGCAAGACAACAAATGTTACACCACATGACCTGGTGATGTTGGCTTAAGGATTAATGCTTCTTGGATACACATTACATTAGGGAAAGGTATACAAATTACCTATGATAAATAAGGAACCAATAAATAAATATGTTGATACTCCAACTAATAAACCATCAAGAACTTATTTACACAGTCTATAACTTGTACACTGTGTACTGAGAACCCTGTGTACACAGCCCCTGGCTGGGTGTCTCAGGGAGCAGGACTGCATCTGTGTCCCTGGCACAGGAACTGTGGGCAGTCCCTGGTGCTGGCATAGCTCCTGGGGTCTCAATTCAGCAGGCGGTGGCTCCTCCCCTGAAGTCCCCAGCAACACTACCTGCAGAAGGGTCTTCCCAGGCTCAGAGTCTTGTCCCAGGCAGCTCCTCTCTTGTCCTGCCCCGGCAGGGCTCCGAGGGGAAAGGAGGGAGAAGGGACCCAGTGTAGCACTCTTGGTGCAGCCTCTCACTGCTACTTCTGCAGGGCTCTGCCAGGGGCTCTTGGAGAGAGGGCTGTGGGGAGATCCTTTCCCTGGTCTCCAGCCTGTCTCTCACCCCCTCTCTTTCCCCTTTGTTCTCCCACCGGGAAAACTGTTCCCCTCTTTTAACCAAGCCTCTCAGCCAATCCCAGGCCAGGACTCTTCCCTGGCTTTTGCTAAGGTCTCTCATTCAAACTATGCTGAGGTTACATCACTCCTCCCACTTCCAAGAGGGCTACCTCCAAAATAGCTTAACTTGCCCTCAGGGCAAATGGTGTCCCTACTGGGGCAAACTCTGTCTCTTCACTCTGTCCCTCTGCAGGGCAGCCCTTCCCATTCCTTCAGGTGGGTCTATTTTAATGCTGCTACATATCTAATTTGCTTTCAACAGAGAAGTTTCAACAGCCCTTGTCTTGTGTATTGAATTGCACCCCTTAAGTGGAAAGGTGCTCCATTTTATACCAGTGAAACTTGGTGTCACAACCCAAAGTTGTGTTGGTTTATTTTGTGTGTGCTTCGGCATTGCTAAATTGTGTTCCCGCTAAATTGCAGCTCTTTTGCACGGTGGAGCGTTCTGTTGCAATTAAGAACCCACGTGCAGGAGCTTTTCCCACCAGTTCTGTAGCCTTCTTTGCATCGTGCATTTCTTTTGCATTATAGTGATGCAC